TAAGACATACAATAAACTTGCATTCTGCTAGTCAGAAGAGGCCAAAGTGTAATATTAAGGGATGAGGTAAAGATACAATCTCAGGCTGGGTCCCAGAATGCTAGTATCATAGTCAAAACAGTCATTTTAGTAAGGAGCATTTTTTTTGTAGGAGAATTGCCACTTAAAGATAACTGAAGACTCCATTATAGAGCAGGAGAACACTGCATCCATAAGACATCAAAGCATTCTTTGACTACTACAGGAATTAAATATAGATCTAAAATCTTCTCTAAAATAAAGATTCAAGGAGGTATACTAAAGATGAAAAAAAATGTATCTTCATGCAAAATGAGGATAGATTGAGTGAGGGATTGAGGGAAGGGCAGGAGACAATGTAGAATAACTTGTAGATTATATAGATTGGATGCTGTTATCTAAGGAGAAGCTTTAAGACATCCCCTTATTGTTTTATTTGCATAGTCTGATGTGTTTTTTAAAGTTTATGCTGAATGCTGTTAAGAAGTGCAAGGACTCTGAAGTTCATCTCAGGGTTTATTATTACTACTGTCTTTTTTTTTTTTTTTTTTGAGACGGAGTTTCGCTCTTGTTACCCAGGCTAGAGTGCAATGGCGCAATCTCCGCTCACCGCAACCTCCGCCTCCTGGGTTCAGGCAATTCTCCTGCCTCAGCCTCCTGAGTAGCTGGGATTACAGGCACGCGCCACCGTGCCCAGCTAACTTTTTGTAATTTTTAGTAGAGACGGGGTTTCACCATGTTGACCTGGATGGTCTCGATCTGTTGACCTCGTGATCCACCCGCCTCGGCCTCCCAAAGTATTACTACTGTCTTTTGTTTACTGTCTTCACACTGCACATGCCTGAAGGATAAGCGTGTAGCAAAACAAATTGAAAAAAGTAACCAATGAGTGCATTGCTCTATAATGGATGGACAAAAAGGATAACAGAGCCGGTGATGGATCAGTGGAGAAGATGGTGAGGAGAATAGCATAAGGAATAAGATATGCAAGATGAGATGCTTCTACATTGTATGTGTATAATATCTAGGTAACCACAGTAGCATTCTTTATTTTAGGGCCCAGTATATCCTGTCAAGCTAAGATTAACTTCCTAAAGGAGTCACAGTGTGCTAAACATTCATAAGTAACACATTCACGAAGACTTCATGACTTCATTAGGACACATATTCTGCCCTGTATAGTGGCTTAATAGCAACAGCTAAACAAGTAGAGTTTATTCATCTTACACATAACATTCAGCACAGAAGGAGTCCTGGACTGTTTTGCTCTATAAATTAAGGCATTAAGCTAGACTCCTATGTTGTTCTTCTACCATTTCTAGACAGTTATCTTTATCTGTGTGATACAAGCTAGCTCACCAGGACATCTCACTCCATGTCTAATTTCAAGTTAGTCAAGGAAGAAGGAGAAGCAGACATTCTGATTCTTCAAGATATGGCCTAGGAATGGTATACACTGTTTTAGGTAACATCACATTGCCAGAACTTAGACATAAAGCCAAACCTAGGTATAGACGAGGCTGGACATATCTCTATCTATCTATCTATCTATCTATCTATCTATCTATCTATCTATGTTTTTGTTTTTAAAAGAGGTTATTGACTAGCTACTGAACAAAGCTTAATCATTGATAATTGATTTAAATGAAAGATGACATACAGTCAAAAGTTTGGTGAAAATCAATGAGCACACTTGTAGAAAACAAGAATGTGCAGAAGATACCTGAAACATTTTTTTCAAAAAATATTTTCCTGAGAAAGTTGACAAAGCAGATGAAATAGGGCTACTCTACTGATGTGTTACAAAGTCTAACTCATCAGGTAAAGATGAATTAAGTGTTCAGCAGCTTAAACAAAACAAATATAGGCTGGTTGTTCCAATATGTGCTTATACTGGTGGCTGCCATAAAACAAAACCTTTCATTATTAGAAAATTAAATTACCCTAGGATTAGGAAGCAGCTGGACCAATTGCCTGCTGTCATGGTACCAAGACTGGCCCTATCATTTTCTAACCTCATAACTTAACAAGCCAGTACCTTCTATAAATCTATTCAAAATTATCCGTAAAATGAGGATACAAAATACTAAACACAGTTAGAATGAGGATTTGATAAACTAATATATATGAAAGCAACTGGTTATTAAAAGGTTTTTGATAAACATTAGAAAAATCAGAAACCCTGTTATTAACTTGACCAGCATGTTTTAATTTTACAGTTGTTCTATCAACTTTTTATAAGTACATGGAATCAAATTCTTTACAGAGTTACTCTACTAACTAATAAGTGTAGAGAACTATTATTAAATTGTGTCTCATTCTTAGCTATCTCTCTTAACAGTTACATAATAAAATTGTTCAATTTGATCAACAAAATTTCCAAATTAGACTGTAAAACTTTAATCTTCAAGGTGGAAAATAGCAGTTAGTGGGGTATACCAGAATTGCTCTGGCTTTGAATAGAATCATGTTTAAAATGTAAATTCTTAGTACTTAACTCATCTTATTGAAGCAGAATCCCCCAAATAGCATCTGCTACCCTATGTGTTTAATATGCTTTCCAGGTAGTTGTAAACACTTTAAATCTTGAGAACTGTTAGCCTAGAGAAGTAAATATAAAAAAGCGTCATGATAAAGTAACATTGTCATACAGGTGATATAAACAAACCTAAGGTAAAGAGCTATTACTTCCGGCCTGGTAATAAATGAATAAAATGCTTATTTTTCTGATAAGGTACTTCTGATCAAGATGAGGCTTCCTTTCACCTTCTCTTCACCAACCTCGTGAGTCACACCAATCTTCTGAACAAATTCTGTCCTTATTCTGGACGATTCTGTGAAGTTCCTCATGTATATTTGGGGGATTTGCATGTTATCAAACCTATCAGCAGATCTAGATATATAGCTAATATGTAAGCTCACCAGCAATGTTCTAAGCAGTAGGTGATTTACCCATATGCTTTGTAATCTTTACAATGTAAGCAATCTGAACATTATGAACCTCATTATAATGAGAATTCTGAGGCTAAACGATGTTAAGTAAGTTGATCACTATCTCAAAGTAGGTAAGACAGAAGCAAATACAGGGTTATTACAGAGAAAAAGCAGACAGAAATATGCTCCTACACAGAGAGAATTCTATTTTTAAGAAACTTTAAAAATCAATCCAAAGCTAGACATCAAGTGGGAATTTGGAAATGTTTACTTAGGAGCTTCTGTAACTTTTTTTTTAAGATTGTTGAACTAAAATGTAATATAGCATAGGAGGGATATGGACATTTATGCAAGTATTCTCAGAATGGAAATTAATCAAAAATAGCTTTAGTAAAGAATTGCCCAGATTCCCTTCCCTTGGTGCTTTGAAATAAGCCTATGCCTACTGGTGTTGGAGATTCTAGCCTAATATCTTCCATGCATTCACTAATTTTATAGGCTTTTTCCTACAAAAAAGTGAAAACACACATTGAAACCTGGAGATAATTGAAGACTGCTTCTCTGAATCTCACACTGAAAGTTGACTTTTCTTCCCCAACTTCCCCCCGTCATTTCATGACATAGAAAATAAAACTGTAATCTTCAGCAGCAGACATGATATCTGCTCCCACAGAAATGGTGCTGACTATTACCAATACAGAAGCAAAGCAATAGGCATGACTACCACAGAGAGACTGCTTTACAGCCTTCCAAGGCATTACTGTTGAATAACCCAAGCAAATCTGACTCACAGACACAGAATATGTATGTGGTTTATGATCACCAGGATAGACTTGTTTGACATTTTTCAGGTAGGCTAGCTAAAGCAACTAATTCCAATGGTACTTCTGAGTCTCAAAAACAAAAGAACCTGTGTTCTGTGTTTTATAAACTAAAAAAATAATTCCTAATATGTACTGGAATTCTAAAGGTTTCAACCAGAAATCTGAAATTTCCTCTAATGAATGTCTTCTGTTTTAAAAAATGTATATATTTGAGCTTGAATTTCCATAATGTTGAATGGAGGGAGTATTAAGATAAACATTTTATAAATTATAAAACCTCTTGAACAGTGCTATAACAAAATGTTGGCTTATACTATACAAGTTTTTGCATCATAAGGTCTTAGATATGGGTTTTATTTTTGAATATTGTGTTCCAGATAGAATGGTAGGTAATTTGCATATATTATCTCTTATTTCAATGGAGTCTTCCAACAATCTCATGGCACAAGTAACAGAGAGGAAAATTAGACCTTTAAAGTTACTTGTTCAACATAACGTACTGATTAACCATAAGGAAAAGATTAATCCTAGTTCCATTAAATCATGTAATTTGTTATAATAGAGGTATTTGTACAGAGAAAGGCTGTAGATTTTTATTTTATAGCAAAGATAAGTGAGAAAATCACATCACATATTTTCCTATGTCCATATTTCTGTAACCTTGAATTTCTCTAAAACGCCATAATCTATGTAACTAGTCAATGACTTACAATGACAACTAAAAAATGACTCTTCAAAAGTACTCAAACATAAAGGAAATTTTGTCACTTTGATTTTTCTATTGGAGGGAAGACAATTATGACTCTTTTCTAAATGATAGGTTAAAACTTAAAAATCTTGCCAACAACCTGTTAATTTTGTCTCCTTACCTATCACAAATCCTAGAGGCAGCATGGCAGTGATAGAGTAGATTTTACAGTCAAATCATTCCTGAGCCATTTGCTAGTTTCATGAATTTGGATGAGGTTTTAATTTCTCTGAACTTCTGCATCTTGACTCTGTGGAGAATAATACTTACTTCACGAGGCTATTATGATAACTTATTGACTAACATAAATAATGTACATACAAAAAGTAGGAAATGAAAGCAAATTTGAGTATATATATATATATATATATATATATATATATATATATATATACTCACACACACACACACATATATATATGGAAATTCTCATTCCATTCTTAAAGGGACAAATATTACGAATCACTTACTCTTACCACAACATGAAGCAATTTCAACATGGATGCTCCAACTTCATTTGGGATATCTCACATATAAGGATTCTATATCTTGAAACCATCTCCAGTGGATTTCCTAGATGAAATAAAACAGAAACTCTTGGGAACATGGAACATAAAAACCTAGCTTCTTTTGATAGCGCTCATCTAAAATTCCACATCATATTTCATCTTTCTGGTTTTGCCCTAATTATTAAAAAACAATGTGTACTTCCAATCCAATTTGATGTACCCATCCTTGATGACACTATTGCTTGCACTTTCAGGTAATGCATTTTATATGTGTTTTCATAAATCAATGTGTATTCCTAAATATATATTAGAAAATAATTAGAGTATAATAAAACTTCCATATCAAATGGGTATTTTTTTTTTTAGTGCTTCTCCAATTGTAATGCCAATGTAAATCACCTGGGGATTTTAATAAAATGCAGATTCTGATTCAGCAGGTCGGGGCTGAGGCCTCGGATTTTGCATTTCTGACAGGTTCCTAAGTCATGCCAGCCTCTCCAGCTCCTGGATCACACTTTGAGAAGACATTAAAGAGTGTGAAGGTCAAGGGTAGTGGCACATGCCTGTAATCAAAATTATTATTATTTTTTCAATTAAAAGAAAGAAAGAAAAAAAGGAGTGAAGGAGAGGAAGAAAGAGGAAGAAAAGGAGGGAGAGAAAACAGAAATGTAGCTTTATTCTAAAAATGGGTATTAATAATGGCCGATCAATATTTTGTGTATTTAAGGTGGAGAATGTATATTTTGTGTATTTAAAATGGAGAGCTATATAAATATTTATTGAGTTTACTTGTTCCGGATCTGAGTTCAAGTCCTGGATATCCTTATTAATTTTCTGTCTCATTGAGTCTAAATCTCTTTATAAGTCTTATGTATCTGGGTGTTAGGATCATTAGCTCTTATTGTTGCATTGATCCTTTTACCACTATATCTTTGTTGCTTTGAAATCTATTTTATCAGATGCGAGAAATGCAACTCCTGCTTTTGATTTATTTATTTATTTTTGCTCTCTATTTGATTGGTAAATCTTTCTCCATCCCTTTGTTTTAAGTCTTTGTGTATCTTTGGATGTGAAATGGGTATTTTCATTTAACCTGTTATAAAATAAATAAACTAAATATCAGAAACAGCATACAGATGATGAAAGAAAGAAGGAGAGCAATCAAATTATAGTTAGTGTGTTAAAGAAAGAAGCCATTTGAATATACAGCTTTTCTCATTTTTTGAGATGCTTTTGGATGTCTTTCTAAAAGTTGAATGAATAAAAATCATAATACAATATTGAAACACACTTATCTATTTACATTAATCAAATTAGTATAAAATTTATTACCTGTACCTATATATTCTAGTCTTGACAATTTTAATGAAGCCTCATTTAGAAATTTGCCAAGTATTTTTCTGTTGCAAAATTTGAGCAATTTTCTGACAATATTCTTAGATGCCTCTCTCTCTCACACACACATACATATATGCACATTCACATACCCACACCACTTAAAAGTCAAATTTATTGCAAGAAATTACACTGCAATCACATAAAATACCACAAAATCACATTTATTCACCAGCCTAGGTCTATACCTTCTAATAGCTATTTTGGTTTCATTACAATAGAATATCCTATAAAATAATTAAATAAATGTTGGTTATGCAAATCACAGTATTGAAAACACTGAAACCTGATTGTGTAAAACATCTCACGCTCAAGGAGACATGTCATAGTGATAAATTTAAATTAGTTGCTTTAAAATGAATTCTGTTGCTTCACTCTCTTAGTACCTTCCTGAATTTCCATTTCTACTAATACAGTAATTACAATGGTACTAGATGGCAGAAGTGGATCTCTCTTCCTAAAAATTAGATTTGCAAAAGAGTCCACTGAGCCCATTAAATGATATTGACATATCAAGTCCTCTTATCAGTTCACTGCAGGTACAGACTTTGAACAAAGAAGGTTGCTCCTATTTCCCCTTCAACAGAAGCTGAGTAAGAAATTTGTATTTGTAAATATCGTCTTTTAGCCCTAAACCTAAATCAGTGTTTAGAGGGAAATTTATAGCACTAAATGACCACAGAATTCAGGAAAGATCTAAAATCGACATCCCAATATCACAATTAAAAGAACTAGAGAAGCAAGAGCAAACAAATTCAAAAGCTAGTAGAAGACAAGAAATAACTAAGATTAGAGCAGAACTAAAGAAGATAGGGACATAAAAAACCCTTCAAAAAATCAGTGAATCCAGGACCATTTTTGAAAAGCCTTTTCAAAAGGCTGGGTTTTTGAAAAGGCTAACAAAATAGATAGACTGTTAGCCAGACTAATAAAGAAGAAAAGAAAGAAGAATCAAATAGACACAATAAAAAATGATAAAGCAATATCACCACTGATCAAACAGAAATAAAACTACCATCAGAGAATACTATAAACACCTCTATGCAGATAAACTAGAAAATCTAGAAGAAATGAATATACTCCTGGACACATATACCCTCCCAAGACTAAACCAGGAAGAAGTCGAATACCTGAATAGATCAATAACAGCTTCTGAAATTGAGGCACTAATTAATAGCCTACCAACCAGAAAAAGCCCTGGACCAAGTAGATTCATATCCAAATTCTACCAGGGGCACAAAGAGGAGCTGGTACCATTCCTTCTGAAACTATTCCAAACAATAGAAAAAGAGGGACCCCTCCCTCACTTATTTTATGAGGCCAGCATAATCCTGATACCAAAACATGGCAGAAACACAAAAAAAGTAAAGAGAGAAAATTTCAGGCCAATATCACTCATGAACATCAATGTGAAAATCCTTAATAAAATACTGGCAAACTGAATCCAGCAGCACATCAGAAAGCTTATCTACCACGATCAAGTAAGCTTCATTCTTGGGATGCAAGGCTGGTTCAACATATGCAATTCAATAATCCATCACATAAACAGAACCAATGACAAAAAACACATAATTATCTCAATAGAGGCAGAAAAGTCCTTTGATAAAATTCAACACCCTTCATGCTAAAAACACTCAATAAACTAGGTACTGACAGAACATATCTCAAAATAATAAGAGCTATTTATGACAAATCCACAGCCAATATCATACTAAATGGGCAAAACCTGAAAGCATTCCCTTTGAAAACTGGTACAAGACAAGGATGCCCTCTCTCACCACTCCTATTCAATATAGTATTGGAAGTTCTGGCCAGGGCAATCAGGCAGGAGAAAGTGCATTCAAACAGGAAGAAAGGAAGTCAAGTTGTCTCTGTTTGCTGATGACATGATTGTATATTTAGAAAACCCCATTGTATGAGCCCAAAATCTCCTAAAGCTGATAATAAACTTCAGCAAAGTCTCAGGATAAAAAATGAATGTGTAAAAGTCACAAGCATTCCTATATACTAATAATAGAGAGCCAATCATGAGTGAACTCCCAGTCACAATTCCTACAAAGAGAATTAAATACCTAGGAATACAACTTACAAGGGATGTGAAGGACCTCTTCAAGGAGAACTACAAACCACTGGTCAAGGAAATAAGAGAGGACACAAACAAATGGAAAAACATACCATGGTCATGAATAGGAAGAATCAATATTGTGAAAATGGCCATACTGCCTAAAGTAATTTATAGATTCAATGCTATCCCCATCAAGCTACCGTTGACTTTCTTCACAAAATTAGAAAAACTACTTTCAATTTTATATGGAACCAAAAAAGAGCCCATATAGCCAAGACAATCCAAAGCAAAAAGAACAAAGCTGGAGGCATCACGGTACCTAATTTCAAACTATACTACAAGGCTACAGTAATCAAAGCAGCATGGTGCTGGTACCAAAACAGATATATAGACCAAAGGAACAGAGCAGAGGCCTCATAAATAACACCACACATCTACAACCATTTGATCTCTGACAAACCTGACAAAAACAAGCAATAGGGAAAGGATTCCCTATTTAATAAATGGTGTTGGGAAAACTGTCTAGCCATATGCAGAAAACTGAAACTGAACCACTTCCTTACATCTTAAAAAAAAATTTTTTTTGAGATGCAGTTTTGCTCTTGCACCCAGGCTGGAGTGCAGTGTTGCCATCTTGGCTCACTGCAAGCTCTGCTTCCCGGGTTCAAGTGATTCTCATGCCTCAGCCTCCCAATTAGCTGGGATTACAGGTGCCCACAACCATGCCTGGCTAATTTTGTATATGTTTAGTAAAGACAGGATTTCATTATCTTGGGCAGGCTGGTCTCGAACTCCTAACCTCAGGTGATCCTCCTGCCTTGTCCTTCCAAAGAGCTTGAATTACAGGTGTCAGCCACCATACCTGGCCAACCTCATACAAAAATTAACTCAAGGTGGATTAAAGACTAAAATGTAAGACCTAAAACCAAATTTATGTTTCTGTATCTGCTTTGAGAATTTGGGTTTGGGACTCTGCACACCACTTTCTATTGCCAGCTGGCTTCCTCTTAGATTCTGCAATGGCAGGGAGAGGGCTGGAGACAGGCCAAGGGGGTGAAAAAAGGGAGAAAGGGGCTTATTATTTTCTGTTCTCTTGCTGTCAGCAGTGTTTAGCATCCTGCACCCTGTCAGTGGCAGTCATTTCTGTCTACAGATTTTTCAAGTCCTTCCAGAACCAGCTTATTCTGACCTGAGAAAGGCACCAGCCCCAGGTGGCTTGCATCTTCTCCTGAGGAGTCTGAGTTCCCTGAGTCCTCTCCTTTGAGCTCCTAAGATACGAACACCGGCTGCGTAACAACAGTTCTGAAAAGTGTGATACAGAGATCTACAGGGTCTCTTTTTCAAGGTCCCTGTGCGCCATCTTTTCATTTTGTCCCCAAGCCCTAAAGGTGGAGCTGTTTCCCGAAACTGCTATCTCTGTATAACCCGAGAGGCCTCTTTTTCCTCTTCCAGTTCTCCAACAAATATTTAATCCATTCTTTATATTATAATTTCCTTGTAAAAACAAGTATGGGGAAAAGGATATGAAGACACTTCTCAAAAGAAGATATTTACATGGCGAAACACATGAAAAAAGCTCAACATCACTGTTCATTAGAGAAATG